CTGTCACGATAACAACTTTTTGCGGTGGGGCATAGAGGAGAAACAATAATGTACAGTATGTGGAAAATAATGTGTTTTTTTAACTTTAAACCGCATAAACACATTTCATTACACCAAATACACAAAATAATGTTCTTTTTAGCAGCATCGTATGACCCCTTTAATTAAAGAACAAGAAAATTCAGATCTGATCTCATATCTTTGTATAGGGCCTCTTTATGCAACAGAATATTGTGTCTGTTTACACTGGCTGTAAAAAAAAAAAAAAACTGGTCTCAGATCAGCCCTAAACAGCACAACTAGCCCCTAATATGGAGCCCCCCCTGGCCCAACCACTTACAATGAGGCCCACGTTCATGTGTCTGCTATGATTGCATCTTTAGTCATTGATGAATTGAATAATATTCTCAATCTCTCACTTTCATCTCTGGGGTGACATTACAATAACTGCTCTCAGTATCTATCTACTGCAGACAAATGGGTTTTGCCCGCTGCCTGTTTATATGGTCAGCATCTCCAAAACAAGCCTCAGAGGACAGACCATAAGCAACTCCATTACATTTACATACATTTACTTAAAGCCTCTCCCAATGCCAAAGAGCTTTATTAAATAAGGCATCCATCACATCTGAGTGTAGAGGTTCAAACTGAATTTCAACTTGAAATTGTTTGTTTGATATAAAAGGTTTATATTATCCAGAGCATTTTGCCTGAGCTGGAAATGTATGAGTTGAGATGTATGTATTAAAAACATACATATATGAAGTATTATGGACCATTTAAGGATGTTCTTGGGAATGACATAGACACATGTTTTCTTTGATGCTTAATTCCTCTCATATATTTAATCCAGAATGGCATTGATACAGTATTCTGCTCAAAATCTACTAAAGGGTAATTAAATGTAACAAATCATGTAAAAAATATATCATCTTTTATTGGAAAATTAAACAGCATTTTATCAAACCTTCATAACTGCCTAATCATTTAAACTGAGAAGATAGTGATCAAACTTTTATAAATAAGTATATAAGTTTTTATAAAATCACCTTTCAATTTCAGCGAGTGAAGAACACATTTACACACATGTATTACGTACATTACGGTCTCTGTCAGACAGCACGATGAAGCTGCTCAGGCTGCCAGTTTCTCTTTCTTCATGACATAGTCAAAGTCAAAACATCCACTAGTGTGAATTTTCCAAGTAATGCTTGTACTATTTCCTTGTATTGTGCACGTTATTTTTTGACAGACATTGATGCTGTGATATTCAAATATTAACGTGCATAAGGGTTGAACTTGTTGTTTTTTTGGGTATTATAAATCATGCTGGAGATGTTCGAAATGCTTTTTGCGTAGTTCATTATACTTATTTTACGGTGAAAATTAACAGGAATCAAACAAGATTGTCCAGATACGAAGCACATATTAATGTCAGGTGTAAAGGCGGCTGAAGACTAACGGAGTGTAAATTTTCTGACAAAGCTATAGGCAGTATTTGCCAATCTGCAGTGTTAAAAAGGCGGCTTGTAGTGTCTCTCAGTCTCTTTGTTGTCTGGGTTTGTTAATCGAACAGATATCCACCTCTTTAAAATCACGTTTGAAGTGTTTTGTAATGAGCTGTGACAGAGATAAACGCCTTTGATAAAAAGGATATGAACTTCTAAAGCAGCCTAAATCAAACCAGGTAGGATTACTTAACATGATCTCCCTTTTATTTATTTATTTTATTTTATTATCATCTTTTATGTATCGGGATGTGTTCTACAATAGTAGTGCCTGGAACTAAGACTGCTTCAGTCTCAATAAAAATATAAACCAGTGTTATTTTAGTATCGCCGATGTACTATTATAGTTTTTGTCAATATTTTTGGAATTATATTTTATTTTTGTATTTTCACTTTCATTTTAGTTGAAGTTTTAGTATTTTTGTTGTGTTTTTGTCATTTTTAATAGTTTTTCCCCCCAAAATATGTCTATGTAGTTTTTATTCATTTTTATTTATTCGTTTATTTAGTTTGAGTTATTTTAGTACTTAAAGTTAAACTAAACAAACATGAGAAATGTTGCCTTGGCCACTAGCTGAAATAAAATAAGTTCCCTTTCAAGGGAACTTCGAACTGCGTCCTCTAGGGGTCGCTATGGGGAACGCCTCGTTGTGACCCGTGTCTGAATCATACATTGAAAAAACACCAACTCATTGGGCGGCGACAGCCATGACGTTACTACCGGTGCGACTATAGTAGCACCAGTAGTGACGTCATGGCTGTCGCCGGCCAATGAGTTGGTGTTTTTTCAATGTATGCTTCAGACACGGGTCACGACGAGGCGTTCCCCATAGCGACCCCTAGAGGACGCAGTGTCTCATTCCCTACTCAGGGAACCATGGTTACATAAGTAACCTGAGACGTTTTATTTTATTTCAGTAAATATTATTTTATTTTATTTCAGTAAATATTTATTTTGATTCAGGTAACAAAATTTTTTTTTATGGTTTTAGTTTTAGTTTTTACTTTACGATAATAACCCTGACATACAGTACTGCTTCAGGTTTGCTATTACAATAAAAGTGGGTGTGTTCTGCACTGTAATTTTGTCCTCTATTGTATTATAATGGTTATAGAATTAATACACTTTGTATGCATAAGTGATATTCAGAGTCTTATATCAGTGGTTTTGGCAGGTGTTTTTGAGATACTGGGCATCTGTTGCACACAGCCAGCATGCAGGCATTTGTGGTGCTTTGCTCTCCTGTTGCTTCATGAATAACTGCACAGATATTCATTCAAATATTGTCAGATGTACTGGATAATAATTACTACTCCTTTTAAAACTTCTCCTGCTTTCATAACCGTACTTCTTAATAGCATTGTGTAACAGATCAACATCTGCTGTTACTGCACCCACCGATATGTTAATATTAGCTAATATTCCATAAATGAGCATTTTTATTCTGTTTTCCATTCCAAAAGATTGTCCAGCGTGATGCCAGCCCCTTGTAAGGCTAGTGTGCTTGATATTATATGTTATGAAAGGCCGGGCCCTGATTGGCTGCTGGAGGTCTTCTGCCAGCGCTTCCGTATAGCAACAGACCCCCGTTCCCCCCTCCCCTGCCCATTTCCCCATTTTCCCTTTCGTAAGACAGTGGCAGCCCCTCGTACAGCGCTCAGATTCTGCCTTCGACGAGGCTTTGCTCTGCTGCTGCATCTGGGGGAGCAGTAACCATAGTAACAGCTAGGTTTTGCTGACCCTGGCTTTGATGACTCGCCGCGCCACACAGTTTTCAGGCTTGACCTGGATTCCTTATACTGCTGGTTACTTGGGCAGAGACGCTCAGTCGATTGACCCGCTTCTTTTCTTATGTGGTCAATGATCAGAGGACCTCCGTGCATGCGGCATTTGCGGTTTGTGATGGCACTCGCTCTCTGCCCACACTACACTATTTCAGTAACAGAGTGTTTCGCAGAGCGTTGACTCATTTGCTCTATGAATGGAGCTTTTCCTGCGTGTGAATATTTAAAAGGATTAGGTCTAGCTTGCTGGAGGATATGAAGCTGCTGTTGGTGTTGTAGAGGCTTTTATGTTAAAATATGCAATTGTTCTTTGACGATAAACCACTGCTGACTTATTCAGAGCCGCATGTGTGTGTGTGTGTGTGTGTGTGTTCATGTAGGCAGATGTATTTGTGCTTAAGCTCAAAACTGAAAGACTATAATAGGAAATTCGTATAGACAAATAATAGAAAAGTTCTAAGAGGTACATGCTATGTAATTGCCTTCATTTAAGCAGGAAATGACATAATTTCCGGTCTGTTTTCCCTGATGAGAAAGACTGCAAATTTAAAATCAGTACACAAGCACATAAATAGCCTCATACCTAAAAAATATAACTAAAAGCCACAAAACAAAACAGAAAAACTACTATAATTTGTGGATCCCATCCATATTCAAATATGAATTTTATGAATATATGTAATTTATAGTATCATGACAATTGTATGTCACTATTTAAAATTATGTTAATAATGATGTAAAGCTTTATAATTACATATATAATAGATTTTCCTAATGTTGTTATAAAATATGACCAACCTGCACAAAAAGAACTGCCCATAATGTACCCTGAATAAAAAAATTATAAATAAATAAAATAAAAACATTTTGGAAAAACAATAAAATCCCTGTGATGGACTGACCATTCGTCCAGGCAGTTTTGTAGATAGACAGACAGACAGATAGATAGATAGATAGATAGATGTTCTGATCACTGCCTGTGTACCTGGATTATCCCTCGAGTCTCGCCCAATTGGATACTGTCCGCCCCTGCCTGGACCTTTGCCTTGTACCTGGATTATCCCTCTTGCCTTGCCATCAATATACCTGTTTGCCATTGTCTGACCTATGCCTGTTTTTGACCCCGTATCTTGTGAATAAAGCCTTGCAGATGGATCCGCACGCTTCCTGTGTTCCCTTCGTTACAGATAGATAGATAGATAGATTGATTAGATTTGATTAGAACTAATTCTTCATAATTATTAAAGTATTTAAAATGCTTCTAAAATAAATAGGAAATTCAGAAATCCAGAGTTGATCCTGTGACAACACACAACAGTAGTGTCTGCATTTAATGAACCTTGAAAATAAAAGAAAATTAAATAAAATTATTCTAAAGTATTAATATGTATTTAAAATGCTTCTAAACATTCTAAAAAATTAAAACCTTCAAATTTGATTCAGTGGGGTCTTTAAAGTTCATCTGACTCTCTCCATAGGTTGATTAGTGTGTCACAGTCTGTTTTTAATCTGCTCTGTAGTTTTAAATGAGCAGAATGGGCTTAGACAAATAAATCCACTGAAACATGGCTCCAATCAGATTAGGTGCTTTTCTAAACGAAGCAGCCAGTTTCAGTCTCATGGATCTTTCAAAATCAGTATCATCTGTCGTACCGTTGGATGTCACTGCTAGATGCTGATGGTTCCAGTCTGTCTTGTGTGTTACAGATGTGATGGAGCAGCAGAAGGTGCTGTGCTCCAGCTGTTTGGTGAGTGGAGTCCACACCCCTCCCATCCGGCGCCACAGCAAGCTGGCCACACTGGGGCGTATTTTCAGGCCGTGGAAATGGAGGAAAAAGAAAAACGAGAAGCTGAAGCAGAGCTCTACAGGTAAGACAAGCTGGGCTTTGTTTCACTTTTATTTTAATTTAGCCTATTACTGAAAACATGGCTATGTTGATAATACAAATGAACTTGCAAATGTGTGTTTGATGAAATATTTTGAGTGTCGAGTAATGTAAAAGTACCTTTTATAAAAAAGGTGATAAAAATATTGTTTTATTTCCAATTCATAACAAAGACAATTAACAGAGATTTATAAATGGGGAAATATTGCAAGACATTATTCAATGATGTGGGGTGACACAAAATAGTGTAATATAAGCGGAAAACAAAACTAACAAAATTAGGAGGCTGTGGGCCATAAATATATGGATGGCTATGAGTGATAGGTAGGTCATTAATAGCTCATTTTAATTTAATTTCACTGTTGAATGTAATCTTTAGCTAATATCAAAATGTATATCCATTTTTTCATACTGCACATTATAATGTTGTGATGCCTAAATTCACTTGTGGTGTTTAAAATTACTTATTTTAGTTTCTAGTGTTTTAATTTTAATTTATTTAGACAATAAAGTATTAAATTTTAATATCGACCATTTATTGGTTATTGGCCATAACAAGAAAATAATTATCAGCTTATCAGTATTGGCCAGAATTGTAATATCAGTGCACCCGTAACTAGCACTTTACTAATATCTATAGAGACATTAATTTAGTTTGGGCTAAAAGAAAGAGGACCTAAAACAGAACCCTGGGGAACACCGCAGATAACAGGAGTGATGGAGGATGGAGAAACTGCTGTTTGTCATTGAAGGACAGAACCAGAGGAGAGTTTCCAGTGTCAGTGATGCCAACATCTAAATGACAGAATCCAATAAAGAATTGAGGTCCAGAAGGAGTTGAATATTAAGCATCCCTGATTCAGCAAAGAGGAGGAGGTCAATTATGGCCCCACAGAGATCTGTCCCTGCTACTGTATGTAAAGGACAATATTCTGCCTAGTAAGGCTTGTATAGAATATAAGAAACTTGGTGCAGCACTAGTTGAGAGGCAACAGCTCTGTTCAGCAATGGTTTGTGATAGGTCTGTAATTATTTAACACAGAAGGACCTAGACAAAGTCTCCTGAGAATTAGGGTGTCAGCATCAGTTTTTAGTTCTAATGGAACAGTGCCAGAGGTAAGAGATCTGTTAATCAAGCATGAAATGAGTGTACTGATAGCAGACAGCTTTAAAAACAGTTTAGTTACATGATGAGACAATATCATCATCCAAAGTTAGAGGAGGAAGTGATACACAAATGATAGTAGATGCATGCACAGAATGAGGGAGGATGTCTGATGGTTTTGAGATTGGGAAAGAGCAGGCAAAGTCAATCCTTTGAAAACAAACAGCAGAGGTGTCACCATTTTTGGAGAGGGAAACCAGTAACTTTTCACTTCTTAGTAATTCTTCTTTAAAAATGATAGTTCCCCCAAAAATGAAAATTCCATCACCATTTACTCACCATCATGTCATTCCAGACCTGTACTGTATGACTTTCTTTCTTTTGTGGAACATAAAACAAGATATTTGGAAAAATGTTTCAACTGTTTTTGTCCATACAATAAAAGCTAGTGGGTACCAATGTTGTTCTAGACCCCACTGACCGTCATTGTATGAACATTTTTCAAAATATCTTCTTTTGTGCTCCGCAGAAGAAAGAAAGTCATACAGGTTTGGATGAGGATGAGTAAATACTCTTTAAGAGTAAGATGTGAGTGTCTAATGATATATATTTAGTGTTTATGGGGACCCAGGTTCAAATCCACCAATCCACCAATCCAAATAGCAAATTAAGTGATCAACATGCATTTTTATTGTATAAGTATCTTTTACATTTGGTTCTATTGGGAAAACATGGCAGGTGTTCATGATCTGTTATTGGACTGACCATTTAATTTAAAGTAAAGTTGCAACTACACTCAAAAATATTTATGTATGACTTATAAATATGCATCACTTCATTTTTTTTTTTAGTTTGTTTATGTTTTAACTAATCCAAATGGATGTCAATTTTATATGCAATTCAAATACATAAATCTTCAATTTAGGTCTGTGTCTGTATGACGCTTCTGAACAGCACACGTGAACCCCTGGCATAACTGGAGAGATAATTTGGAGAAATCAAGTGCCAGAGGTTTACAATCAGCAAAATGTATAGCTGTTCACTTTCTAGCACCCCCATGAAGATCTCAAATAACATCTCAAAGTCAAAGTCACAAACACCTACAGTACCCACATCATGTCAGCCAGAAGATGTTGCGTAATTTGTGTTGATGAATGTTTGTGAGTTGAGCAATCTAATGCAAACTTGAAAGTGTGAAAACACTGTTCTGTGTTGTGCAGATGTGGCCTTGGCTTGTGGACTTAACTCTCCAGACCTCAGCTCTCCCATCCAGGGCATCCCCGATGCTGAGATCCGGCTACCTGGCTCTCAGGGGCCCATTCTTAGCATCAGTAGCATGGAGTACCTCAGCTCAGAGCAAGACAATCTCCCTACTGGTGAGTGCTCTTTATCATTTTTATATATAATTAATTATATATAATTATTTATATTTACTAATACGCTGATTTGCTGCTCAAGAAACATTTCTTATCATTATCAATGTTAAAAACATTTTTTTCTGTTTAATGTTTTTGTGGAAACCATGATACTGTACCATCCAAACCTTTGATGTATGTAAGCATTTAAATAAGTAAAAAACAAAAAAAAAAAAACAACAACATAACTATTCAAAACTTTTGAGTACTGCTATTTGCTCAGCCAATAGCAGGAGTTCGGGGCGGGCCTAACTGTTTGACCGACCAATAGAGTACATGGGGAGTGATCGGGAAACCTGTCTGGAAACGGTCATTATTTTTTGCAAATATAATCCTTGACAATTAAACAACATTACCAATTAACCACATGTTTGAATTCCGTTCCTAATAGTTTAAACTATGATTTCTTTGCTTCCTATCAGTGGTAGATTCTGTACAGGACAATGAGACAACGGAAGAGTCAAATTCAAACGAGGAAGAGGAGGAAGACGAGGAGGCGGTTTCTTCTGTAAATGAGAATGAAGATGTTGAGGAAGATGAAGACAGAGACGAAGATGAGGAAGATGAACTGCAGGAACAGTCTCCTCCAAGCGGTCATGGCAATCTCGTTTCTCAGCTAAGCACGGAAGAAGGTGTGTTCATTTTCACATAAGGAAACTCAGATAAAATTATAAGATAATATTTCAGTATACGAATGCATTTTTTTATTTCCACAGACCCAAGTAAAGTCGTCATCGCATCAGTGCCTCAGTCAAACTCTTTTCTTCAAAAAGAACTGCCTAGAGTCCCTGACGGCCCTAGTCCTGTGGTTTTAAGAGGGCCTTTTACTAATCCTGTGGGGTCGCTGCATATAGGCAGCATACATCCGCCACTGCCCGCTAGCTGTATAATAGAAGAACTGCATCGAGCACTGGCAACAAAGCTCAGGCAGGACCGGTGAGGATGTTACCCTATTTTTATTATTGCTCGATTTCAGAAAGACTTTTTATAAAAGGTTTTAGAAGCATTTTCAATAGTTATTACTAATGTATCACATTAAAATGTGTCTCTTTCTTTTTCTTTCTTTAGCATTGAGCGAGAGCCAAGTGGAGATGGTGAAAGCAGAAAGGAAGCGGAGGAAAACAAGGAAAATGTTCGACAGGACCACTGCTTCACTGACGCTTCAGGAATTATCTACGATATTGACAGCTGGAACGAATCTGTCATTTCTGGTGGGTTTACCACATAACTTTTAATACTTGTAACTTTTTTACACCTAACATGTCATTAGATAGCTACTGCAATGATTTATTATAGCTAGACAATCAGGTAGAATTTGTATGTTTGCCATGCTATTATCATTGTATCATTGTGTTTTTTCATGTTGCATAATAAAAGTAGCAAAAGAGATCGATCATTGGTCATTTTTGTCTGGAAATCTGGATTACTTTGGGTTGTTCTGTCAGTAAGTTATGAATTATATGGCAAACGTGTGCAGGCACATTGCCAAGGAGGATGAAGAAGGAACTGCTGGCTGTGAAGCTTCGGAATCGTCCCAGCAAACAGGAGCTGGAGGATAAGAACATTTTTCCTGCGCGGAGCGACCAGGAGAGACAGGAGATCCGTCAACAGATTGAAATGAAGCTTGCCAAGTAAGTCATAAATATATGTTGACTGTACTGTATATATAAGTATATAAAATATTACACTGCCCTCTTCAGGACGTTTTTGGAAATACATGAAAATGTCATCAGGGACTGCTTAATATTTTTTTTTGCTAAACAAACCTGTTATAATCAACATACACTGTCAACCTTAATTCTACTATTCATTTAGCTACTAATTTTGATCTGTTAATTACACTGGGAAGCTTAGTGTTCGAGTCATATGCTCAATCTCCTTCGTTACGGACAGCAGATATGTTTACCTATATCACTTAAGGATTATATAGACAAGTGAATTTGTGAAACAGATTATGAAAACAGATTTTGTGCAAAGGTAGTGTTAGTATGTGTACAGTGGCTTGTAATCTGATGTAAGGTACATAGCAGAAACTGGGATTACAGTTGATTGAGGATTGGAGTTAATCTGAGTGAATAAATCCACTACAGCTTTCATTTGATTATATTTGATTATATCACCTGCCTTTGACTTCAGAAGTTCAGTTCAGTACATGATGCACTGCTCACGTTTGGTGTAGTGATACAAGCGATGGAGAACCTTCCACAGACTGCAACAACAATGCTTTGCTTTGCTTTTGCGTTGCTGTTTTCTAGTTTGCTATTGTTTGTCTTGCTTTGAGTTTTGTTTTGTTTATTTTGCTTTGTGGTTTGTTTTGCTCAGCTGTATTGTTTTTGTGTTTTGTTTTGTTTTTTCTTTGTGTTTTTTTGTTTAGCTGTGTTGTGATTTTTTGTTTTGATTCGTTTTGTTTTGCTTTTCTTTGTTTTGTGGATTGTTTTGCTTTGCTGTGTTGTTTGGTTTTGTTTTGCTCTGCGTTGTTCGTTTTGTTTTGCTTTTTCTGTTGTGGTTTGTTTTGCTTTGCTGTGTTGTGTTGTTCGGTTTTGTTATGTGTTATGTTTTGCTTGGTGTTTTGTGGTTTGTTTTGCTTTGTGTTTTGATTTGTTTTGTATTTTGTTTTGCTTTCTTTTCTTTGTTTTGTTTTGCTTTGCTTTGCTGTTTGGTTTTGCTTTGCTTTGCATTGTTTGTTTTGTTTTGCTTTTTGTGTTGTGGTTTGCTTTGCTGTGTTGTTCGGTTTTGTTTTGCGTTATGTTTAATATGTTTTGATTGGTGTTTTGTGGTTTGTTTTGCTGTGCTGTGTTTTGCTTTGCTTTGCATTTTGTTTGAATGAATTTTTACATTTTCAGTATGGCATTACAAATCTCAGCTGTTAGATTCTCAGCAAACATAAACTGTGACATCTACTACTTCATCCTTCTGATAGAAGCAATGTAGTGTCTGATCTTTACAACTAGGTCTGAGGGGAAGAACAGCTGAGGAAGGCCTGCAGTGCCTCACACAATTACAGATCTTGTCAGGATAAGTCTTATGTAATCACAGTAAAAACAGTAATATTGTGAAATATTATTACAATTTAAAACACCTGTTATCCATTTGAATATATTTAAAAAAGTAATTAATTTTTTTGATGGCAAAGATGAATTTTCAGCAGCCATGATTTTACAACTAGGTCTGAGGGGAAGAACAGCTGAGGAAGGCCTGCAGTGCCTCACACAATTACAGATCTTGTCAGGATAAGTCTTATGTAATCAGCTGTGGTATTTGTCACCTTTGTGGATTTTCAGAAGAAACAGCGATTATAAGAGAGCTTTGTTACGACTGCAGTGACAGACACAAGGTGCTAAAATGTCATGAGAAATTATGGTAAGTGACCATCCTAAGTTATGTAATGTGAGAGCCATGAGTGGTTTGTAACAAAGATGTGATTCAGATGTGAGGAGAAAGCAGACACTGTGCTGCTGCAGGTGTTTACATTAGATTAACTTTAGGCACAGGAACACATTCAACAGATTCATACATATGATGCACATTTACACTGAATAAATGGCTTTTAATTGTGAAATAGTTCTGGATGCTTAACAAGTCATTGATTATTTGCACTTAATAAACCTAAATAATTGTTGTACTTTTAAGGATTTTGGAGTCACATGTTCATAGCTGGATGTGTTAGATGCTTAGCAGATATTTCCCGAGAGTAAGGTCCTGTTAGAACTTCTAATTGGAATCACAGGGTTCACTGTGTGCGTCATACTCTTTATAAGTTGCTACATTTTAGAGTGGGAAGTCTGGTTAAATTTAGCAAAGCTGAAAATTCAGCCAGGTGCCTTGGTTTTCCCTAGAAACAAGGTTGATGATTTTACATAACACACAGAATTCATAAAGTATATTGATGTTAAATCTGTATTGATTTGTCAAAAAACATTTTAATTTGAAGATGTCCCTTGTAAAAAAAAAAAAGAAGAAGTGTGCTTAATAGAGTGCAGCAAGAAGTACAAATTCCATTCATTTTCTCCATAGGGAAATAGATTTTTAACAATAACTGATAAACCTTCAAAGTCAGACCTGTTGTGAGCTCCAAGGTTGATAATCAATTGTTGAACCCATCTCTTTTGATTAATTTAACTTTTTTTTTTATTTTTTATAATCATGTTAAATAGCGGAATTTGTGGTGAAAACGACATTACCCATGAGGCTGTTACGGGGCAAACAAGACACGAGACGTACGGATCCATTTGCAAGCTTTATTAAGGGTGTGGTCAAAACAGGCGAGGGTCAGGCAATGGCAAACAGGTATATAGAAGACAAATCAAGAGCAGTCCAGTAAACAAGCGAGGGTCAGTCGACGGCGAACGTAATCCAACAGGGGCGAGACTAGAGGGATAATCCAGGTACAAGGCAAAGATCAGAACACGAGAAAACAGACAAGGCAAGACTACGATAAGGCTAGGAAAACTAAGCAGGCTCCGTAAGGTAGCTATCAGCTATAGCAGTGATACACGCTAAAAAAAATACTCAGCCGTTTGAAAGGGATCTGAGTGAGTGTTATATAGTGAATGTGTGATTGGTTACAGCTGTGTGCAATCAGTGCAATGGATGATGGGATATGTAGTCCAGGATGACATCCAACTGTTTGTGTAGTGTGAGAGTCAATGTAATGGAAGGGTGACCTCTGGTGGTGAGTGAATTGAAGTTCATAGACCGGATTCGTGACGGATGCTGTATAGAAAATTCCGCCAATTACAGTCGAGAGAGCAAGCGCCACGAATGACATAATCGAGTCGGTCTCCCTACGCTCTCAAAATGGTTAAATATTTGTGTGTGTATGTATATATGTATATAACATGTAAACTTAAAATATATTTGTCTATCGATACAAATACTACTATGTTAAACAGGGCCGTTTCTAGCCAATTTGACTCTAGCCCAATAATGTTGGGGGATCCAGTGGGGTCGGCAGTCATATTTCAGGGTGACCGTGCCACTCTTTATCACAACCCTGCTAAAAGTGCCAGTAAGTGCGCTCATTGGCGCCCCTTCAGCTGGTGGCGCCCTAGGCGACCGCCTAGCTCGCCTATGCCTAGAAACGGCCCTGATGTTAAATGAATAGTTTTATATTTCACCATTGTTTTTAATTCAATTAATGTCATTTGCAATGCTTCATAGGATTGTAGTTGTTGTATTAGAACTGACAAATGATTTTCAGTAAATACAGATACAATTTAACAATATTTCAAAGACAATAGACATAATTATGAAATCATATTTAAAGATGTACTTAAATCCTACATAAATCATTTAAAAAGTACTTGAATTTAATATAAATGTATAAACTATAATACATTTAATTGCAGGTAACATGCAATTAAGTGTCCGAACACATGACATTCAGTAGCACTTTTAAAGTATATTATTTAAAGTATAGTATATATTTAATATTATTAATATATTAAAGTATATTAAGTACTCTTTGTAAAGCCTTCAGTGCAAGACTTTATTTTAGCCATTTTGTAATTGACAGTATCAACCAGAATGGAGGCAGGAAAAATGAGAAGGTTCGGGTCAGTTCAGGTCAGCTGAGAAGGACAGTCGTTTCAGAGGTGGAGCATGTTATTACATCTTGATGTATTGTCTTATAAAGACATTTTCCTTTCTTAGGATTAACACGCACACGCAAGTCTGAGCTAAACACACAGTGACACTTTGCCGCAGCAGCATGTCATGACCTTCCTATCTTTGGCTTGCCGTGCTCTACTCCACCACCGAAGAAAGACATGGCTGGAGCTATTTTTAGAGCTCAGACTGGTGAATAATGGATGCTAGTGCATGTTCCCCTCCTCCATCTCTGCCTCCACCTTGCACACCATAGTGAATACCAAATACGGCCGTAGTTTACAGTAGTACTCATCACAGCTTGATGGAAAGTAGTTTGGATAAAGTGCACTGCCATCCGTCCGTTAATTAAATGAGTCTGATTAATGACCGGTGCATAATGCAGACCAATGGCACGAGCTTCCAGTGTTACTCGGGTAGATTTCTTTGTTTCAGTATTCACGTGGAGGCTACTGTTGCTAGGCAACCCCTGATACAGGTCAATAATATCCAGGCAGCTTCCAATGGGGCTTTGGGAGTAGTTCTCCATTTCAGTTCATGAAATATTAACGCTGCCACATCTGCTGGAATCCCGTCTTACTCAGCTTATATGAGTGACAGCAGTGTTACAATGGCTGGAATGCAAAATAATGCTGTAAAATGCCTTATAATTAATCAGATCTCTACATATAGCTTTGGGTAGCAAAGTATTTCGAATTAATAGTGTGTTTGAAAGCAGCTGCACAGCAATTTCCATGAGACAACATGCCATTATACCACAATCTAATGAATAATCGTAACATAGTTGAGTCATTCCTGTTATAGAGTACATTTTCAGCTCTGTTACTTTTAATAAATGTAATTTTAATGTTTATATATATATATATATATATATATGTATCATCAAAATAAATATTTCCTAAAATGACACCACAAACAATAAATATATGTATGTATTTATTTAAAAGAATATAGCAGACCTGTTGATAATGTTGAAATTATTACTAATATTATTAATATTTTATATCAAACAGAATACAGTGTTCTAGTGAGACAAAGCAATACTTATAATTGATAATAATTTAGTAATTAATTAAGCAATGACTAAAAAACATCACAGAATTGATCCAATTCAATTCTTGTAGGTTGTGTCATTGATTTTAAAAAAAAATTTCACTTCCAGGAAGATAGGCTTTTACTGGCTTTTAATTAGGAATATTAAAAAGACAAAGAGTATAAAAAGTAAGATTAGGGAAAGGAAAGTGTAAACTGATTACCAATTAAAGCAATATTCCCATCGAAACATTTTAGTTAGAGAAAGAGAAAAATAAACACCTGCAATATTACATTTTTTAAACATTTTTTTCATGTCAGAATTTAATTAAGTAGTGAAATTATAAGTACAAATATTTAAAATAAACCCCTAAGTTTACGTAATTGTGAAATGTGATCGAATAAAACTCACTTTATGATTTCTGCCTTTAAAAAGTGAGTTTAATATTTATACAATAACGGCATAGGCGTGACCCAGTTGCTTTGATCTATACTTTCTACTTGCCATTTTCCAGCAAATTATATTCAAACTAGTAATTCTCAAACAATAAAAAGATTCACTTAACCTAATTAGTGCGCTACTACAACGAGCGCGTGGAGGAGCGCTCACTCACTTGAGTCTACAAACCACAACAAGGAGCACGAGTTCTCTCGCGCGCCGTTAAATGCACCGACTGCACTTTCTCACTCACTTGAGTCTCATCAGCACCGCATCTTAATAGTTGCTGCCTATTTAGGAAAGGTGCTCAAAAACTCAGTGTTTTGCATCCAGATGAGGAGTAATAACTGTCAGGCTGAACAGCACAAAGGACGGAGAGACTTTGAGCGTCCCTTCAGTATCTCCCTCAGCTCTGGATCTCACGAGCCGCTTCAGCACGAGACAGTAGGCGCGTTTCCATTACCCTTCAAATTGCGCAAATTGAAATTGCGAATTGAAAATACGCCTAATGGAAACGCGTCAATTTCGAGTCTATGGTTTATTCCAGCCGTGCCACGCACGTTTCTGAAGCGGCTCTCTTTGCTGCTTCTGTAAAGATACACGCATATGTCTCCTTTGAATAAATATAGCCAAAATCCCGCCAAAATCCGTTGCCATGACTTATCGCGAGAGGCAAAAGGTTACGTTTTAGTCGCATAACATTGGTTAATGGAAACGCCGTCATTTCGCAATTCTTTTTTATCGACATTTATAAAATATCGCCATAGTTTTGCGCAAATCTGTAATGGAAACGCGCCTAGTATGGTTCAGAACGTTATTCTGATCTTTTTCCGCAGGAGACTCAGTCAACGGCCGGCCGCTGAAGAGCTGGAGAGCAGAAATATTTTAAAACGTGAGTATTAAGCGATATAAATTATCAACAATAATCTAAATAATAAATGTATGTATCAACAATTGTTGTTTGTGAGTAATAATAATCATAATGTTATTAATGAATATTGTTTATAGTGTTGCAGAGTAATATCACTTTTTCAACTTCATTGTAATAATTGTATTCGTTAAATAAATAACATTTTATTATTGTTGTTGTATTATATGTACACCAATAATAATAATAATACAATATATATATATATATATAGTACAAATATTCAGTTTGTAAAAAAAAGAATATATATTTTATTATTAATAATAAAAAATATTAAAAAACAAGATTAAAAAATAGAGATATTTTTTTATCATATCTCTAATCATTTTTAATCAGCACTTATTAATTAAACCGGTACTAACTGCTACTTCATTGTATTGATGTTTATATTTGGTAAATAAATAAGTAATGTTTTTATATTCTATATGTCTGTCAATAATAGCTAATAACATTTTAATTAAGTAATTATGAATTTTGTTTTTGATATTGCACAGTAATATCACTATTGCTACTTCTTTGTAATAACATTTATATTTGTTAAATAAACAGATAAATATATATATATAATTTATATATTAATTTTATAATATTGTAACGAGTCAATCCACTGAAGGCGAGTTGAAGTGAGAACCCATGTGCAGTTTATTCACAAACGTGATCCAAAATCCAAACATAATCCAAACAGAGACTTGACTTGAACAGACTTGACTTGGCACAAAACAAACTAGACTCACCAACAGCAGGTTACATAATCAATACACGACAAGAACTATGGGAACATGATGGCTACTTATATCAGACAATGAGGGTCACATGACAAGAACAAACCAATGGGAAACAAGACACATGACACAAGGAGGGTCACATGACATGAACAAACCAATGGGAAACAAGACACATGACTAGGACTACCAATCAGAACATGACACATACACAAGGCAGAGATACATGAGGGAAGGGAAGCATGACACTAACAGCAGGAAACAATTACAAAATAAAAGACATGGAAAACATGAACATGAAACAAAACCCAAACACCACATTACAAATATAAATTATATAATTTAAATATTAAGTAATCTTATAAATGAAAAAACAAGTGTTTTTATCATATCTTTAATCAGCACTTTAAATTGTTTTATTATTAATATTTATATTTTTAAATAAATAATAAAATGTTATAATCTATACATGCATATCAATAATAATAAAAACAATAATAATAATAATTAAAATAGTAAATAATTTACTAAAGTTTTTGGTGGTTGTTAAGGTGAAAATGTAATCCTTACTTCAGTCAAAATACTTAAATGTGCTAACATGCTTTTTGAGGTCTTCCATTGCTTTGTAGTGCACAAAATCACTACAGACTACTATCAAGTAGATTACTGTAGTCTGTCAGATAAGATACATTGCTCAAGCAGGTCTGTTGAGTGACCCTGCGACTGCACTCTTGATTAGATCACCCTCACTGAGTCTCTCTTTGGCTCTTTCAGAGAGGAATGATCAGACGGAGCAAGAGGAAAGAAGAGAGATCAAACAGAGACTGAACAGAAAGGTAAACAACCGCTCGTCTCTCACATGAACCTCAGGTTCATTTCCCTTGCAGCATGCTTTATTTGTATATATCATGGATGCTGTTGGTCATGTTTTAGACTTCTGCTGCTAATATTGCTACTTGCAGTAAGACATTATAAAACATTGTCTAGAGCTGAATAAAGATGCATCAGTCAAGGACAAGCAGTGGTTTTCAGAGGGGTAAAGCAATTTTGTGGACTAATAATGTTCAGAATTAGTTGCATCAGATTGAGAGAACCTCCATTAAAGTATTCAGACCATAGAGTTTGATGAGAAGAAAAGAGCTGATTTCACGGACATGCCAGAAATGACTGAGATCTGTAAGCTACATTTTTTCAAAAAATGTGAGCGTGTGAATTCTTATTAGGCTAACCGAGACTTGTCATTTGCACTTACATATTGTTACTCTTTTGTTAGTTTTGATTGCTTCTATTGTCCTCATTTGTAAGTCGCTTTGGATAAAAGCGTCTGCTAAATGACTAAATATAAATGTAATGTAAATGTTATACATTTATATAAACATCCCCATGTTATTTAATATTTCCCCATCACTAGAAATATTATTTAATGATTTATTTGACCAAAAGCTGGCGCGGCTCCCAGATTGATGTGGTGTGGTTAACTAGGGGTGATGATGACACGCACATAGTTTGGTGCCAGTATGCCAAAGAATTGCAGAAAAACAGCCTTAGATCCATTTTGGCATTTTTCATATCTCCTGACCACTTGGTGGCAATGTGCCAAAACTGTGCGGGTAACCTCAGGACATGGTTGTCATAAATTGTGTGATATACAAGACGTAAAACATGATAGTGCCACCTAGTGGCCGATTTCTTTCAAATTTCTCACAGACCTCTAGGGCCATGAGTCAAACGGGCCCACGGAGTTTCGTTCCAATCGGCCTCTGTTAACCTTGTCTAATAGGTGCTCAAAGTTAATTGGCTGATGGCGGCCATGCTTTTCTCAAGATACACCAATGCCCTCGAAGATATTGGTGGCACCATGGACAATGACACTGGATGCCAAATTTCAAGTCAATCAGACTAATGGGTGCATAGTTACAGCCATTTTCATGTTTTTTTTTCTTGTTATAGTGCCACCAAGTGATCAAACTCCCTAATTTTTGTAATTTGACCAAAGATTGAGCTCATTCATATGTGTTCCGAGTTTGGTGAAAATAGCTCATTCCATTCAAGAGTTATAGCCGTTTTAATAAAAGTGGCTCCACTCACTTTGAACGTTTTTACGTCCTGTTCCGACCGACAATGGAACTTCAACTTGGTTTTGATAAATTGCTAATCAGACTCCAGAGAACTTTTCTGCACTGGTTTGGTTCCGATTGGGTAAAAAACCTATGACTAGTTTGCAAAAGTATGTTTTGCGAAATTCTCATGACGGAAATGAAATCGGAGATAGACATTTTGTTTGGTTTGAGCCAAGGATTCCAATAAAACATTGACAAACGATGTATGAATTATGCAACAGCGATTTTGCATTTTGTTTGCTGTAGTTCCCCCTATTGGCCGATTGGAGTCTTTGCCAGTCTCTCCCCAAACTGAGCTCTACCTTCTGGCCAAGTTTCAAGTCTCTAGGACTTATGGTTTGGCTTTCCACTTGAACCCCTATTAATAATAAAACAACAATAACAGCAGCAACAATAACAATTATTATTATTATATTTTGAAATCATATAGATTTATTGGTTTTATTTTTTTCAGTGTGCAATTAATTACAAATTAATTAATACACTTAGCATGAAACACTATGGCTTGTCTACATTATTGTTAAAAAAATCAGCAATTTACCTCAAAACAGAGGTGTGACATGTAGAGTAAAATGAGCATCTAAATAATAAAATTGAATAAATAATTTTTTTTATTATTATGTTTTGGACATTGTGCTATTAATTACACATTATTGTTGTTGTTATTTTTTGTTAATGATGATGCTAAAACAACAATAATAATAAAACAATAGAACAACAACAATAAAAATAATGGGAGTCATATCCTTTTGTTGGCATATTTTTCCAGTGTATAATTAATTTCATGTTATTTACTTTTGATTAATACACTTACCATGAATCATTATGGCTTGCCTAAAGTACATTATGGTATAAAAAAAATCAATAAAAAAAAATAGCAGTGTGATATACACAGTAATATAAACAAAAAATGAAATAAAGAATGAAATTGAGTATTATGATAACAAAAAATTTAAAGGGGTCCTATTATGCTCTTTTACAATGTCTTGAATTTGTTTTGGGGGTGTACTAGAACATACTCTCATGCTTGGTGGTTCGAAAAACATAAAAATTATACCATTTAGATAGGATGTCAACAACCGCTTAAAAATAACTGCATTTACTATGTACAGATAAGTGCATATGTATTATTTTTATTGTTATTTAATTCTAACATTATAACATGAATTCCAGTGAAACTGTTATACAGTTGAATTTATTTATACCATAGTCCAGTGTTTCCCAGGTGGCATATATATGCAAACTCATTCTCTGCCAGCAGTAGGCGCTGTTGGAGCGGTAGAGATCGAGGTTTCCCCGGTAACGGCTGTACACAAAGCAGCGCTCCGCTCCAAAAAAAAAAACACTGCTTTATCAGACATTACATGAATTATTATTACAGATTAAATGCTTTGTGATATCACAAAACCCGGAAAACAAACGCTGTAGTCCAATCGAGCCGTTCGTTGTAGTTCTTGAAAAGGGATTTTTTTTAACGAAATATCTCCCTTTGGAGTGGACTTTGAGATTTGTAAGTTTGAAGATCTTTTTTATGCCCAAACATACACACTACACACTGACTAAAATTCAAAAAGTGAAAAAGCATAATAGGACCCCTTTAAGGCTCATCTTTAGGCAGACTGCACTTTCAACTCCTGAGTGTCTCTGTCACTAGTGGAACCAGTGAATTTTATTGGTCAATTGCGATTTCAGTCCCTGGAGAAAATGCGTTACTTGCAACATGGACATGTATCTCATAACTGGTATGCAGCCCCATTAATAACATCATTTTTTTAATCTCACAGCTCAACCAGAGGCCAACAGTTGATGAACTAAGAGAAAGAAAGATTCTGATCCGCTTCAGTGACTATGTGGAGGTGGCCAAAGCCCAGGACTATGACAGGAGAGCTGACAAACCCTGGACAAGACTGTCTGCAGCTGACAAGGTATGAGACAAAGACAGGGTTCTTACACATTTACCCTCTGCCAGTAGGGGGCGCTTTTGGAGCAGCAGAAATATATTGGTTTCCCCGGTAACAGCTGTACACAAAGCTGCACCACACTCGTAAATGCTGTCGATTAATAGAATACATTAAGGAATGTTTAAAAAGGATTGTGTGTGGGGAAATGGCACGAATGGAACATTCTTCACATTGTTTATTTTAGTAGCATGAAAAACAAATTAATTCATTGGGCACATGCACTGAACAAAACTCCGGCATTTTCAGCTGCTAGTACTCGAGGATTTAGTCTTCATTTTAACCATAATTTTTATTTGTCGTTTTCAAGCCAACGCTCACTGCCGCGGCTACCTCCGATCATCTGCCTGCCACTCCATCAGAGGGCGCACATCAAAAAAGACTGGTAGATCACACTACAGCCACACGCGCAGACTCGAGTGCATTTATTTTTTTTGTTTTATGCAAAATTCAAGCATTTTTAAGGATTTCAAGCATCCGTACGAACCCTGCAAAGAGCTGACGTCAGCAAATCTTTACACTGGTCTGCGGTCAGTCTTTAATTCAATAAACCTGCACAGAGAAAAATGGGCTTTCCTTTATTCTTAGTGATTCTCTCAAGGTTTCTAAACCCAATATATTAGTGAAGCAACTAAAAAGCAATCTAATTTGTGTCAGTAGTCTTCTTGCTCTGCCCATGTGACTCGGTTGACTCATTATGGAGTGCGCATGTTACTGGAGGATGCGCTTAAGTGGCTTTTATTTGCGATTCCACAGGCGGCCATCCGTAAAGAGCTGAACGAGTTCAAAAGCACTGAGATGGAGGTCCATGCTTCAAGCAAACACCTAACAAGGTCAGTATGCGTGTACAGCACTCACAGATGTGCCTGCACTATTTTTAGATCCACAAAATCCAAACAGCCTGGTCAAAAAAGACAGGGACACAAATGCGTTTGCATATAAAAAGCATGAATGTGTCACCTTGACATGAATGGTTTTGGATAAGAGGTTCCTCTCGACATAATCATAACATTAGTGGCCTTTAGAGCTCTTATGCATGCTCTTACTAAAAATAACTGATTGATGCAACAGCCTTGTCCCTATTATATCGTGTTTGTGATTGCGAAAGGCACCTTTGTTGATTTCTCTCCTCTCCATCAGGTTTCACAGGCCTTAAGAGGGGGTTTTCTTCTGTGAAGAAAATGCTGAAAGCAGTGTTTGTGTTAAAATCCTGGAGGTGCCTCTTCCAGAGCCGTGGCTTCGTCCATGGGATTCCCTTATTCTTCCAGCGCCCTGGGCCAAGTGGTGTTTGGGTGCGGTTAGCGCCAGAGGCTGCGTCTCCACCGCAGGCGGTCACAGGAGAAACCTGAAGAACATCTGCAGATATATTTATCCTGAGGCTGACGGAGTGTAGCGGCAGAGGACTTTTTGATGTTTTTAGAACTGGACTGCATTTCAGTGGCTGCAACGAAAAGACGAATCAGTTCTGGGTAAATGTTTGTGTACATGTAACCAGCTCCACTCTGAAAAGAAAAGTAAAAAAAAAAAAAAAAGAAGAAAAAAACAAACACTTGAGGGTTAATAAGCCTGCTATAAATGAATTTCATATTTACTGTACAAAAGTCAGTTTGAACAGGGTTGTTCATGTCATCACTTGAAAAAAAAAACCAACAAAAAAAACTTTGTAAGCACTACTTGTCTTCAAAATACAATTTTGGAAATACTTCTGTGTTGTTGTTTTTTTTAGTTTAATTATATACACACTACAGTTCAAAAGTTTAGGGTTTTTAATGTTTTCTCTCCAAGGCTGCATTTATCAAAAATAAATCAGTAATATTGTGAAATAAAGCTGAATTTTCAGCATCCTTACTGATTTTATTACTTTTTTTGTGAAAACTGATTTTTTTTATTCTTTGATGAATCGTAAAAATAGCATTTATTTGAAATAAAAATCTTTATTATAAATTACATTATAAATGTCTTTACTGATACTTTTGATCAATTCAATGCATCCTTGCTGAAGAAGACTTAATTTAAAAAAAACAAAACTGACCCCAAACTTTTGAACAATAGATAACACTGCAGGAAATCTGTCTCACTCTCTCAACCATGAAACTATTTCCTCTTCCCTAAATCCTATCTATTTTGCCGGTTCCATTTACGGAGGACAAACGAAAATGCATTAAAGGCAGAGTAGGTGATTTGGTTCAAAAACATTTTTTGTTAAGCTGGTTGAAAGTCTTTTCACATCCCGATAGCAATTACTAAGTTAAGTGGTCTAAATTTATTTAGAAGTATTTATATCATCTGTGGAAGCGTAGGACCATAAAATGTTTGTCCAATATCTCTCGGTCTGAGGGCTACGATAGGCTGTCCTACCTGCATTCCTCCACACACCCTGTTTGCGCAGATGTGATATGTCATCAGTGCGTTCCATTAAGCTATTGCAGACCGAGCGAGAATGGAAGACGTTATTATTGTAATATTATGCGTTTTGTACTGTGATGTTTTCTCACCGGTGAATGAGACATGAGGTAATCTGACAGAGTTGCATTCAACCCTCCACAAACGTCGTCTCTCATCGCGTCACTGGTCTGCCTCTAGTCTGCCTGTGTGTGTTCATGTGTTTTGGAGGAGGCGTGGCTTTGGAGAGTGATTTGCAGGGAGGGTGGGATCTTATGCTTTCAAAGCTAGCCTTTGAAAAAGCTTGCCTCTTCAAAATCGCCTACTCTCCCTTTAAAGTCACTCAATCTGATCTTAATTTTGAGCTCCTTCAACTGCAAGTAAAAATGAGAAAAAACCTTTTCAGTAAAGCTTTCTGTCTTTATTTTTCAACATCTCCCATCAACTGAACCCATGAGGATTGCTTATTCAGGCCCTTGCTAGTGAATGCAAAAAAAGTTCTTAAGATGGTTTCAGAATCCAGTATCCCTTTTTAATTTCTGCGCACATAAATCTGAAGTTGATTATTATGAGGTGGGATGTTTGAAATAAATGCATTTGTGCTTACATTACCTATAACACTTACTTATTTGCTTTTCACAACTATTCATTATTCATATTAAAAACCACAAGCAAATATGTGCGCAAAAACCATGTACAGCCAACCATTTTTTCACGAAGACCAGAATAAACTGCATAAAGTACAAATATTAAACCTTTTGAGTAGGAAAAATTTAAAAGAACATAACATTAATGATATCCAAGCATACAAACACATTTTAGGAGTAGCTTAAAGTGATTTTCAAACGGTAGATTTTTTTTCCCTCAGGTCAGAACCTCGATGTATCAGGGAAGAACAAGGATTGCAGTCCTCTTCGCACACTCGTCAACTCTTCCTCGTGCTACAAAGACAAAAAAACTTGAATTCAGTCCTGCAGAATTTTGTGACGTTAAGTATAAAATATCAGTTCCGTTTGGGCTCTCTCTCACCATTTCTTTGAAGAAACACTCCTGAATTGACTTCATGTTCTTCTTCATCAAAGACATCTGCAACAGAAGCAGACAATCAAAGGTTAAAATGGCTTGAACTGTAAATATGACTAAATATAGAACCATGTTGGAGCTCACTCAAAAAAGGTTCAGGTCCTCACCTCCACAGAGAAGATTTGTTTCTCATATTCTAGACTATCACACACGTCAGTCTGAATGGTGCTTTTCAACTGCTGTAATCTGAGACAAAACAACAAGACTAAGCAAGACAGGCACTTACTGTCACGTGTTTGTTTCTGTTTAGTTCCTGTCTGCTCTTATTTGGTTCAGTTCCTGTTCTCATTTAGTTAATCATGGTTTATTCAGATCACCTGTGTTGTATTATTCATCTCGTTTGCTCCTTAGTTTGCCTGTCCTTATAAGCCCTCAGTTTCTGTCGAGTCTTTGTGCTGGATTAATGTTATTTTCAACGGTTTAATTGTGTTGATGTTTATTAAAGACTCCTTTACTTCTACTCCTTCGTCGTGCGCCGTCCTACAACCACGACCGCGTGACACTTACATTACAAATCCATTGTAAACTGAATCATTCAAAGCAATCAATTAGTGACTTTGTTTCAATCTAGAGAAATAGACAAATTCTCTGAAACATGCCTTACAATGCCGGCAAACACTGAGTGCTTTTTGGTGTGGATGTAAACACTGACTAACTGTTTAATTTACACTCTCTAAGCAGCTTTTTTTTTTTTTTAATTATGCAACCCTCAGTGCACTAAAACAAAAAATGTACCTGTCTAAAATCTTGTCTTTGAGCTGCCCTTTTTTAAAGCTGAAGAAATCACAAGATTCTTGGCATAACAGCATTACAGAGTGAACAAATAACCAGCATTACATAAACCTTTCTGGTTTTCCTCATGTTGCATCTTGTTAGCTTGGCAGGAAAATCCTGTTTGTTACTGTGACCCAGCACAACCCACAGATTGTTTTATAGTCATAAACAGGTCTTGTAGACGTGATTACATATTATGCGAACAGAACAGTTATCAAGGTAAGATTAGTTCACATTTACATTAGAGCTGGGAAATCTATGGCAATCATCTCATGTTTGTGCAGCAGCTTTTATATTCTCACCTCTTGGTTCCTTTCTCCTGGTAAGCGTGGAAGGCCAAGGTCTGCTTTTCCCAGTAAGTCTGTGGATAAAGTGTGATTAAATCAAAGGCCATTTACATATATATTTTACACATTTATTTGCCAAAATCCATTTGCATTAATAGACACTTGGTGAGTCAGAACAATTGTTACCATCAATTCCTCCTCCATGCTTCTCAAAACAATGCCATCTTGCTCCAGGTTTGCTATTTCACGCACCAGGACTTGTTTAACTTTCTCTAGCCTCTGACTACTATATAAGGAAAAACAAAACAAAAGGGCTAAATATCAGACCTGTTTTAGGGCAGAAACTCTGACCTCTTCTGAGTCAAGGGTCATGCCTGACCTGTACTGGTGTACTTGGACACTGACGGAGGACATGTGCTGCTGTAAGGTCTTCAAAGTCTGCCTGGTGTAAAGATCCATTGTCCTGCAGCGATTCTGACAAACACACACGATAAGTTATTGGACAACGCTACTCACTGAATGCTTCAAAATGTGCAGCAGGTTTTGCATGCAAGGATGTGAATAAATAATTGCTTCATGGAGCTGGCGTGTTTAGCCAGGGCTGATTTAGTGAGAAAAGTGAGATGACAAGCACCTTGATCTTCCTCTTAAACTCTGAGCTGAACTGATGGCAGATAAAGCCCACCTGCTGAGCAGGCTGGGTCACGTCGATGTCTGCCTCCACACTGGCATGCCTGCAACTGGACCTCGTACAAGATGACAGTGTCTCCACTTCCTCGGCTGGAGGGAACACACACACATACCCACGAGTCACTGGTCAGCACATTCAAAAGCTCACACAACTGCATAGTAGCTACAGGACAGCAGAGCTTCTGAATCATTCACTTTTTTTATATTTACAGTACCGTTCAAAAATTTGGGGTCAATGGGACTTTTTGTTTGTAAGAAATACTTTTTATTCAGCTAGAATGCATTAAACTGATCAAAAGTGACAGTAAATGTTAAATGTAAAAAAATGCTCTATTAATCAAAGCATCCTGAAAAAAAGATGTATCATGGTTTTCAAAAAAATATTAAAAAGCACAACTGTTTTCAACATTGATAATAATAAGAAATGTTTCTTGAGCATCAAGTCAGCATATTACAATGAAAAATACTGTTTTTTCCCCTGTTTTTGATCAAATAAATGCAGCCTTGTTGAGCATAAGAGACTTCTTTCAAAAACATTAAAAAGCCTTATCGACCCCGAAAATTTTGAACAACAGTGTACATTTATCAATAGCATGTTCTTAGCTTTATTTTTGTGCCCTGAAACACGTTCTCTCTCATTACTGGATATTATTGTTTCCTTGGCCCTTTTATTCAGGCCTTTCTGGTAACTTCTCTTTCTTCTCCTGTTCTCTGTGACTATGTCCTCCTCTTCTTCCTCTGAGCTGCTCTGATCCTTCATCAGCAGTTTAATATTGGGGCCTGAGGCACAGCAACACAAAGCCATTCACAGAATCAAATGCAATCTAGTTTCTTAATCAGGAAATTGAGAAAACAAGAGATTTTCACAGCAGAATCAACAATAAGTGCCTGATGAGTCAGGATTGGGATTCATTTGTGTCAGAGAAAGTTAATGAGATGCATGACTTGACTTGAAAAATTTTGCTGCATCATGCTTGGTTGCTCCGCCCAGAGTGAAATCTCATTGGTCTAGCTTTACATGGATGTATATCAAATATGTTCTGAATGGCTGGTATTACCACAAGGGAAAAAAATATTTTAAAAAATCAACTAGGCACCATGCCTAGTTGATGCATAATCTTTTGTAAAAGGTGATAAATACCCTTACTAGGAGTGAAGGATTTATTAGTAGGCCCAAACAGCTTCCTGGGCTTCATTTTCAGAGCTAGCTGTGAGGGAGAAGGAGCCTTATTCTCTTTGTCCTCCTCACTGTCCTCATTTCTCTCTGAAAGACTAGCGGAGTGGCTCAGGGCAAGATGCTTGTGGACGGTTGTTGGACCTGATTGGCAATTGGTACAAAAAAGATGCTAATTTTTGCATACTAACAAATAAAATAAAAAACACAACATAATTAAAAAATCTCTTCACCTGACTTAACTTCTAGTCTCTCAACCTTATTTCCTTTCTGGCATGCGGGTGTTTTCTGTAAGTCAAACAAGAATGAAGTGGTGTATTACTGAAATGTACTACTATGAAAAGTGCAACTGTACTCAGAAATAAACTGTAAAGCTGTACCTCTAGTTCAGTGCACATCAGGGCCATGTTGCTCACAGATATGTGAGAGGATTGGCTCATTGTCACAGAAATGACAGACCTTCTTTCAAAAGATGTTGGGCTGGTTTTGTTCATCACACCTCTCTGCTCCTCCTGGATGTCTGGAGGGATGTGTGGGGAGGGCAGGGTGGATTTCTCCAGGGGTTGAGTTGGGATCAGTAATGAGTGAACTGGACTCAGCTCAACCTGCAGGAGTGGGACAGAGGACAAGGGCGAACTTGCATTACATAAACATACTCATCTTTAGATCAGAGAGGTAATGACAAAGACAAAGATGTATCAGCAAGAAAGTAGAATGTACGAGCAGTTGCTTTTCTAAAAGAACAAATCAATAATACTCTCAAGGCACAATATTATTAGTACATTCAGTGGCCCCTAAAAGTATCTGGATACTTAAGCCACACTTAAAATGACAGAATGTATTGTATTACACCATAAAATATAAACCCATGAGGGTTGTTAAAGACAGAACGATAAAACTAAAATGAATAGAAAGCTAAAGAAAACAGCATTTATTTGAAATAGATATCTTTTGTAACTTTATACATGCCACTTTACTGTCACTTTTGATCAATTTAATGTATACTTGCTGAATAACTTTAATTACTTTAAGCATTTTTACCCAATGCAATGACATTCTTAAATTTTTACTTTGTGGTCCAAATATGATAACTGTATGGTCAGAAATAACAATGAAATGAGCCTTGAGGGCTGTAATGTGGCCCAGTAGTACTTGATCTTTCCATCGATTTGATTTAAAAACCTGCACTTGTTTCCTGTTTACCTGTGCAGCAGGTGGATTCCGCTTAGAGCCCCTTGAGGTTGTGGAAACAGGTGTTATGGAGTGAGAAGGCAGTTTCAGAGCACCTTTATTCCCTGGGGTTTTATAGAGAGACGAGGCCTGCATTTCTTTGAGAGAAGTGAGAGGCTGTAGTGGAGGAGAGTAGGCTTCAATTGGAGAGAAGGACAGAGAACGGAGAGGTGTAGCACTGGATCTCAAGTTGGTTGTTAGTTTTTCACCTGCTACAGAGAAAAATAAAATATAAGTCCCACAGCAGTTACACAAGATGTTGTTTTTATACCAGGCTGTGTATTCAAAAAATGTAGTGTGATTCAGTGCCAGTAATTAACACAATTATTAATGCCCCCTGACTTGTATATACATTTTGCAAATAAACTTTAATTGACAGCCATACATTTATAAAAAAAAATACAAATAACTAATTTAATGCAGTTTAATTCTTACATCTCATCTTCTCAACATAGGGAGGCGAGGCAAATGTGGAAGATAATCTTGCAGCCCAAGATTCCTTCTGTCTCCTGGCTGACTCCTGAGCAGATGACGTCTTCTTCACTGTGAGATGCTCTGGACTAGACATCTTCTTGCCTTTATAATTCCTCTCATCTCGCAGAATCTTTGCAAAGCCTTTATCTGCCTTTTTCTGTACATTCTTCTCACTTTGTTGTTTGGCTGTGTCTACAGAGGTTTTCTCTCTCTTTTCTCCTTGTTCTGTGGCTTGAGCTGGGACATTCTGCTGAAGCGTGGCTGCTCGCCCAATTGCTTTTTTCTATTGGGAAAAGACAGAGACATAAAGCTCATCAGGACTGTTATCATTAGTCTGTCTAGACCCTGAAAGTCTTAAAGGATTAGTTCACTTCCAGAATAAAAATTTCCTGATAATTTACTCACCCCCATGTCATCCACGAAGTGCATGTCTTTATGTCTTCAGTCACAAAGAAATTAAGGTTTTTGAGGAAAACATCCCAGGATTTTTTCTTTTTTTTTTAGAAAATGACCGATCGTTTCGCTAGATAATACCCTTATTCCTCGGCTGGGATCGTGTAGAGCCCTTTGAAGCTGCACTGAAACGGCAGTTTGGACCTTCAGCCCGTTGGGTGCCACTGAAGTCCATTATATGGAGAAAAATCCTGGAATGTTTTCCTCAAAAACCTTAATTTCTTTGCGACTGAAGACAGAAAGACATGAACATCTTGGATGACATGGGGGTGAGTAAATTATCAGGAAATGTTTATTCTGGAAGTGAACTAATCCTTTAAATAAAGGCATTTACAACTAATGAAGATCCCAGTGATCTGACTGTGCTGAAAATCGCATGCCTTAGGGGGGTGGTGCTTTTTCGCTTTCTGACAGGCTGGACTGGTTGTCTGAGTCAGACGGCTCTCTGTAGGTTCTGGTCAAGCTGCAGCTCTTTGAGGTCGTCCTGTGGCTTTCTTATTGTTGATGCTTGACTGCCGTTTATCTTCCTGTATGGCCATTTTCTTCTGCCTCTTCAGTTATTGACCCAATCCAAGAGAAAAGTGAATCATTACTATCAATATTAGTGCCGAAAATACAATACTACTAATTCAAAAAAGTGTACTACACTTAAGTACGGAGGCATATAAATTAAAATTGGGTTGCTCTTTTAAAAAAAAGAGTTCAATTTACTATGCACACCCACTCTGATATTATATTATAAAAGTGACAAAAAAGCTACAAAATGTAGAATATGGCCCCTTTAAGGCATCCTCTGTGAAAATTATAGAGCATTTGTCCTTACCCGCTTTGGCTTGATTTGTTCTTTCACTGGCTTTGGTGAAGGCAAAGGTGTATATGGCGACTTAACTGAAAAAAAAAAGTGTAAGAGATTTACTGGTACAAGAGGATATGAAAGAGGGAGAGAAAATAGTTATCAATAAACTGTGTAGTCCTTAAATAGATGGCACTCATCATCACTGTGGATTTAACCTCTGCAGATTACATATAAGAGACATCTCTAAAATACAGAGACTGGTGTAGCATACATGCAGAGTCAGCTGGCGGAAAGATGGGTTTAACCGGCTGCCTGCTGTAGTCTGCCACTTTGGGCTTGGGTTTCCTGTTGGCTGAGTTTAACCAGCTAATCTCCGTCATTTTGTCTGTGTCCGTATCACTGAACAGGTTTTTGTTCACATTTGCCTTGGCAGCCTAGGTTGTAACACAAACAAGCATAAAAAGTGGATTTTTTGTGATAGGCATATGTTAAATCAACAAACGCATAAGTGCCCATCCCCAAATAATTAAAAAAACTGTGAAACCTTTGGAAGCTGAGGTCTCCTAGCAGACTTGGAGAGAGTCTGAGGATTACTTGGTGCACCAAAAGGGAAAAAGCAATGCGAATATGCAATAAAATACATAATATAGTCACATACATAATATAATGCAGTCACATGTTCACAAATATGCAGGATTTCTTTGGAGAGATTTTAACAGTCAGAACTCTGTTTTTAGGTTCACTTGTTAAACACTAGAGGGGGCTGTTTTTAGAAATTAACAGAATTACCTGCTTTCCACTCTGGATGTATCAGAGTATTTCTTTAGCTGAAAAGGACAAAATTAAGAATGAATGAAAATTATCATATTTTTAATATTTAAAATATTATGATATTTAGTTTGCATTCAGAGCTATTAGTGTCCTTACCACACTAATTTTTGGCGTGTCTTCTGTAAAAGCATAAATATCCCTGAGGAGACAGAACACAGTAAATTCAGTGATTTATAAAAGCTATTTTCAAACTAAATATCCCTAGTTATTCAGGGAGTGAAGGGAGTTAAATGAAATACTCAAGCTGCTGGAACTCCTTCTTGGATCTATCATGTGCTTTGTGCAAGCTTGAACTCTTGACACCAGTTTTCTCCTGTAACACAATGCGCAGGAAAAAAAAAACATGAGTTAACACCACATTTTTAACTAGATGCATTGATTTGACATTGCAAATGCTTCTTTCTTTCTAAATGACTTACAGTGGAGGATGGACAGCAGCTCTTATTGAGCAGGTTTCTGAAAGTGAAGGTAACATTGTGATTGCATGTGAGGACAGAGGAAAAGGTGGGGCATGAATGAAAGGTCAGTCTGTGTCACCTGTTTGTAGATGCGATATTTAACTGGGCCCCAGGTTCATGGGATGATGCTTTGGCAGGTCTCTTATAATGACTGGATATCATTGTCACCATACCATCTGCAGCATGTGCCATCTTCAGAACATTAACAACAAACGCAGTTCAGTATAATAAACCTTGCTTTGTTTTCTCTTATTTACAGGCTATTAATCAATAGCATATTAGATATAGAACAGAAAATCATGGGGAGAAAGGAATGGGATTGGGACATACCTTGTGAAAAAGAAGTACTCTTTAGCATACTTTTAAAAAACAGTGATTATTACTGAAATAATACACTTTAAAAGAACATACTAAGAATATATATTTTAAAATAATAAAAAAGTGTGAATTGAATGTAATGTTTTCTGACACTTAATTGTGTTATTTCTAATTAAATAAAACTTTGTTGAACTTTAGAGTGCTTTTTTGACCCACTTAAGTACTTCTTCATATGTAATTCCATAATTACTTCTATTGTCTTTCAAATATGGTTCAAATATAACGTTGAATGAACTAACAAGCATTTAAACTAAAATATACTTAAATGTCATTTCTATTGAAACTTGCATGTCATGTATTTAAATATATTTGTGATTATACATTTGTAACAACGAAGCAATTTAGTTAATTTAAAATATAATAATTTTAAATGTACTATCAAATAACACTACAGTTAAAATTATAATCAAGTCTTTACATGTAATTTAGTATGTTAGTCAAAATAAGTGCACTTCTTTACAGCAGAAGATTATTGAAACAATTACTTAAAATGCAAAACTTTCAATTTGATATTTTTACAAAAGTGCACTTTTTAAAAGTGTAAAGTTTATTAAGAGACCTAGTCATGAGTGTACTCTATTTAAATACACTCAAGATGCTATTTGTTTCATTAATATTACATTATAAGCAAGTCGTTTTTCAAATATATACTTTTAAGATCTGAAGTACATTACAAGTGCAATTAAGCACACTTCTTTTTCACAAGGCATGACAGGTCTGATTCAAACCTTAGCAAACACTAATATTTGCTCTTTATAACATAAAGACATCTATTCCAACTAAAAGAGTCTCACATTCTCATGGTCAGATGTGTCACCCTGAACTTCACTACTCTTCCTTCTCTGTTGTGCAGGTCTAGCAGGCATGGACTTCACTGATTTCTCCATATTTTGTTTCTCTTGACCTGCAGTCCTGGGCTCCAGTGAGGAGCCTCTCTGGGCTGCATGGCCATCTGTACCCTGCTGCTCCCTCACCACCTCCTCCAATCTCTGAGTGAGCTGGGTGTGCAGCTGCTTCTGGTTCAGGGCTCTGGATGCACACTGTGCCGGGGACAGACGCTGAGGAGGGGGATGAGAACTACCATCTGGAGATGATTACACAGAATACAAGGTTACACAAAGCCGCCTGATTCATATAGTGACAACATATCAGGAACAGTGTTTCCTATACAATTCTGGTTTTGAAGCAGGGAAATTCAGGGTAAATTCATTAAACAATCTCACAGATTTGGTGAGTAAATAATTAGATTGATTCAGCTTTTAACAGATTCAGGATCAAAAGAACTGGCTCATTCTTTCATGAGCTGGATTACACTTGCCTCCCTGAATAGTAGAGTAGTGCAAGAAAGTTATGGAGGAGTAATAATGAGAGTAAATTATTATATTTTATTCTGTGAGAATGAGACTGCACAGTCATAAGAGACATGAAACTAGCACAGATATGTAGGAAATTGGTTCAAACAGTCAATTAATTATAGTATAGAGGTCATAATAATACAAAAAACTACAGAATGCAGTGATTGACCAATCACAATTAAGTATTCAAGAGTCATGTATTGTAGTTTAATATCTCTGCCGATAACTCACCTGATATAGTGCAGTTTTTAGAGCAATCTTTTTGCCAAGCCAGCAGTGATCCAGATACCGAGATTCTCCTTTTACTAGAGTTCAAGCTCCAGGGAGCTGGTGAACTGATCAGATACATGTAAAACATAGACAAACAAGCATACATTATGTTGTGAGCACTGAGCAGACAGAATCCTCTCTACAATGGACGTAATGTTAAATAGTTGAGAAACTGTAACCGAAATGTCACAGAAATACACTCACTATGAGCTTTCCTTTCTCACAGGTTGGGAGTCTGGGACAATGCTGTTATCTTTTACACAAAGAAATAAAATAAAGTTAAAAGCATTCAAATATGTTCACATCAGCAGTGGCATTTCCTTAGTATGCTTCATATAATACCAAACGTTTCCTCTTCATGTTCTTTGTCAGCTTGCACCATCTGTACTACTTTGTCTACAGGAATATGCTGCAGAAAAAAAAAGATTTATAGGGTTAGATGCCAAAAAGAGAAAAAGCAGGTACCAAAAACAGAAAACATGAGATGAGCAATCTAATGAAATGTAAAAGTACATTATATATATTCTCTTGCTCTCTCCCTCTCTTGCTCTCTCTCCCTCTCTATATCTATCTATCTATCTATCTATCTATATATATATATATATATATATATATACATGTGTGTGTGTGTTTAAATAGATTCAGAGAACCTTGTGGTACATCTTTTGTTTAGCCTTTAAGCTCTGGATTTTCTGCCGGTCCTCATTATGAGCAGCAGGGGTCGACTGACAAAGACACAAACAGGTTTCACTGAGATTACATGCATTAAGCTCTTTATGACTTTATGACTACTCAGTATAGACTAATCAGTATACTGCTTCATTAGTGTAACAGTGTTTCATAAACTCTATTTTCCATTTGTTAGGCTACATCAGTAAAAACTTGAATTTGAAGTAGTGATGCTCCGATCCGCCTTTTTCGCCTCCGATACCGATTCCGATACCTGGGGTTCAGTATTGGCCGATACCGATAACAATCTGACACCAGTGCAGTTATTTTTTTCTTTTAAATCAATGTAGAATTTCTGTATCTGTTTGTGGAACTGATAATCACCCTTTCACAATGTACTAAATACAGCTAGGGCTGCACGATTAATCTAATGCGATTGTCATGCGCATCTTTCAGTAAAGCCGGTTCTGTAATCAGTAGTAAATCTCCAGCACGTGCTTTCAGATGGAGCAGAGTTTACTACACAGAGCCGTAGTTCACTGACAAGCTACGCAAAATCACGTTCATAATTGCAGACGATTTAATCGCGTGATTATGAAATCGAACAAATGGTTCTGCGATTATGAAAGCTGTTTGCGTAGCTTGTCAATGCTGCTCCATCTGAAAGCACGCAAAAATGCATTTAATAACATGTTTTTACTCCCAACTTACTTCATAACGTCAGTCGAGTGTTTGAAATAAATCCTTCTGTGATATGATGTGGTTTCTTACACAGAATAAGGCACACAACATATTTCATTGTATTCTAAGCAGTGATAAAGGCTATGTCAATTAGCATTGCATTATTATATACTTTATTATAATAAACTTTATAAGATGCACTCAGATAAAACCATATATTGTCGTAGTCGTGTGTTTATTAGTCAAGTTGAGTTAAATCTTCCGTTTACTCAGCAACCGCTATAGGGATTTCCTGGATTTCTTCTGCAGGATGCATTTGGAGTTTCAGCATGAGAGCGCCCTCTGGCCTTCAGATGGAGATTTACTGCTGATCACAGAACCGTGCTTCACTGAAAGATCGCAGCTTCTGCCTAATCGCGATTTATCGCCTTTGCGATTTAATTTTGATTAATCGTGCAGCCCTAATACAGACTACTTCATTATAAAGAAAAAAAAAAAACATATGAAAAAATTTATGTATATTCATAATCTGACAAAAATATATTATAAACTAGGTTAGTGGATAATTCAGCAGCAAAAGTTGCTGAAAAATCAGTGCACAATAATTTTATAAATCCAAACATTTAGTGAAAAAACATTATTTAGTGGGGAACAAATAAAAGTGTAGCACTAAATCTGGTAAAATGTTACACATTGCTATTTGTATTGTTATAAAATCTATTAATGAAAAATAATATATATATATATATATATATATATACTATAAAATAAAAAGACATTTCTTTTAAATGTATAGAGCATTTTTTAATGAGGCAACAACAGATAGGACAAAACAAATGCAGTGCGGCACAAAGCGCTTACAGTATGCGCATCCGGTGCCAGAAAGATGCGCTTGAAGCACTATGGAGTCACAACAGCTGTGTGCATTAAAAACAATTTATAGTCTTTTCTACTCCCGTGTTTTATTCCAACAGACACCCTGCAACATGATTTAGAAACAACAATAAACTCCAGCAAGATAAAGTCATTTTATGCAAAATCATACACATTTATCTACAAATCAAGTATAATAATGGGAACACTGAATGAACTTGGAGAGAGTTTTATCGAGCTGACTGTTGTAACTGAACACGACCAGAATGATGACCAGATGCTGAATGAAGAACGGCTGACAGCCACAGCAGAGAAAAGGGTTTACGTGAACTTTAATGTAAGGACTTAAATATTCATATGTACCTAACAGTAACACAAAATAGTATGCACAATATCGAATTTGAATCCACCCTGTCTGACCGATACCCAATCCGGCAAAGAATGGCAGCATCGGAGCCGATACCCAATATGAGTATTGGATCGGCACATCAGGGCTCGACAGTGCGAGCATTTCACTCGCATTTGCAACTAAAAATAGGTGTGTGCGAACTGGAAAATGTATTTAGGAGCATGAGTACGAATTAAACATCCTACCTTACACGGTAGCCTATAACAAATGTATTAATTTCTTTATGGAAAAACAGCGATACAGCCTCATATGATTATTGAACTTTAAAAAGGCGACGATTTAAAGGGATAGTTCACCCAAAAATGAAAATTACCCCATGATTTACTCACCCTTAAGCCATTCTAGGTGTATATGACATTCTTCTTTCAGACGAATAGAATCGGAGTTATATTAAATAATGTCCAGGCTAATCCATGCTTTATAATGGGAGTGGATGGTAGCCCAAAATTTGAAGTCCAAAAAATTGCACCCATCCATTATAAAAGAAGTCCACATGCCTCCGGAAGGTTAATAAAGGCCTTCTGAAACGAAGCGATGCGTTTGTGTAAGAAAATATCCATATTTAAAACTTTATAAACCTTGATCTCTAGCTTCCGCTAACTGTTGTATGCACGTTCACGAGAGAGTGGCGTCCAGCAGATGATGTAGGACGTAGGCGTAGCATAAGGCTTGTTCGAGACGCGTCGGCGCTGTGCAGACCGATCGGCGTATGACATCAAAGTACCACGAGTGTGATTGGAGACGACTCTTAAAGCCTAACCCTTGTTTACACAGCCATTGAGTGTATTTTTTATCAAAATATGTTACAGACATTTCATGAAGACCCTAATAAATCATGTCAACTTGTGGAAAATGTCCATCCGATGAGCCCTTTAAAAACCTTGTGTACTTTGTGTATTATGATAAATTAAACAATTGTGTTTGTAAATGTTTCCTTATATCCCGATTAAGCTAAAACACATAATTTGAAAAATTTGCATTGCGCCCCTACATTTTTTTAATGTGCTCCTTGGGAAAAAGGTAAGTGTCAAGACCTAAGTATCTGAAACTTTCTAAAGAGGTCATACCTGTGCTTGAATTGCATGGGCCTTCTTTTGGTTATTCTTACACTGAAAACTAAGAGAAGACACCTTGGAAGATGTTTTGGACATCATGAGTTCTCTAAGCTCAATCTCCTTCTTTCTCTCTGAAGAGCTCATCATCTGAAGAGCTGGTTTTACCATTGGCTTTGACACTAGAAAAAAGGAAACAAGCAGTTACAAAATTGTATACTGCTTATAAAAATGACATTCAATTCTACAGATGGCTATGTGTTACTGTGATTTCACTACAAGTAAGAGATAATCTTTCCAACAAACCTTTTTATAAACTAAGGGGCAATTCAAAATTATTGTGTAGTAATCGACAACAGAGCTGAGACTGCTTACACTCTTGCTGTGGAAATATACAGAGCTATCTGTGATATTCTACAAGAATGGATTTTTTACTGATTAGTCATAAAGTCTTAATGGACCTACCTGCAGGCAACACACAGATGGAGGAACAGCTTCCCTGTTTACTCCCCACACTGCCAGAGATATACATGCAAGACTCAGACACCTTCATCTTTACAGGGGTTACAATCTGATGA